ATGATTTATTAATCTATTACTTAAGCTAGCCTGTACAACGCTACTACAGTACCTAGAAACGTTTGACAAAGTCTAGCTCCCTTCTATCCTGAAGATTGAAATTCGAAATCTGGCCGAAATTTCGCTTTAGATGATCCCGTCAATGATCGATTTATTGTGTTCAATAGTGAAATTTTGCGTTTTTTTCCAAGTCAATCTTATCATTACAATTTAACCCATATTTTTATTTATTTATGTATTTATATGTATATATGTACATATTTACTTATGTACATCTGTAAGTACGTACATATGTTTATTTTTACGTACGACAGCGTCTTTAATAGAAGAAGAGCTGATTAAATTTGTGGTGAGTGATCTGGCATACCAACCGATTGATTATAAAAATTCTTCCAATCAAATGCATATACATATATACCATAGCGATAGCACGTTTACTGTCATAACTATATCTTGTATGTGCAGTTGGCAAAATTTTACAAAAGAGAGTAAAACCTGTCTCAGTGCAACTTTAAACTTAGATCACGTGGACTGCGTTTATTTTTAACAGCTGGCTGACATTTGATTGGCTAATCTTAGTTTAAACCAGCCAACTCGAGCGTGCACTGAAAAACTGGCCCTAAGTATCTCTACCTCTTATATTTAAATATCGATATTTTGGTATGAATGAATAAGGCTTGATGTCTGGAGCTCCGGTGAGCAAATCTCATTTTTGGCACAATTGTCCTCCTCGCAATTATAGACTGTAGATGACTGGAAAATTCAAAATTTAATTATTTCTTTAACTCGGGCTTAAGTGCAAGTTTTTATATGTATCGACTGAGTGTTCTCTAGGTTTCTTCCCAAACATAGCCGCGGGTTTACAGTTTTAGTGTATTTTTTCGACCTTCCACGTCCTTCTTTCCTTTCTGAGTTAGAGTTTTTTTTTCAAAAAAACGGCGATTGCTTTTTCTGCCTTTGTTTTTGAGGGTCAAAAAATTTACGTGCATACAAATGTATGTACCACATACATGTGCATATACATATATATATAACACCGTGCGACAGCAAATTTTACACACGAAACTATGCGCAAAATATAGTAAAACGGCATACATATTTAGTTTTTCTCTCTGACGCCAGGACTATTTTTAAGGACTTTGAAATTTCAGAAATAATATTAATTCAAAAAATTCAGTGCAATGTAGAAGGACAATATGGGCATCATACAAAAGAGAATTTTCTGTACAATTAAAAAGATTAAATTTTTTGGTGCATTGGACGAATGGGTATAAAAAATGAGCTTTTAAAATTGTATACTTCAATATCCTTGAAAATTTGCAATATTTACAAGGTTTTACTATAGCTGCATTTTTTTGTAAGCGAGCGACTAAAGAACGCTCAGCTCGGGTAAAATTTAATTTTAGCTACTTAAGCAACCCTGTTGATATCTGGCAAAAATCATGTGATTAGTTTAACGAGATTTATATTACATTCAAATTGGCCTCATTTAACTTGTTAAATGAAGTAGAGCGTTTTGGAAAACACAATCGTCCACACTGAACATTTGGAGTTAACTTTGACGGTTGTTTGATTACCAATAAAAATTCGGAAAAAATATTCAAAATCCAGTTTTTGTGTCTCAATTTGTTTTGTGCGAATGTCTGCTTCATGATATTAACGCATACGAATTACTTAGAGACTTCAAAATGTTTAGTTTGTATGCACTATTTATCTATGCGTACGATGGGACCTCATGGAAAATAACTAATTACCGCCTTGGCCTCTTTTTTGGCGGCCAGACATGCATACAATTTTGATATTTTTGATAATTTTTAAATTGTAATATTTTTCAGAATATACATTTTTTGAACGTTGGTGTGTCAAATGAAAGCTTTTGGGTCTTTCTGATTGGTCGGAGCAGAAAGCTTTCTGATACAACTCTGCGCTGAACTGGTTTTCAAACGAGTTAAATGATTTAACTGGTTCAATTTTCCAACAAAAATTGCATGCGATTTAAATAGTTTATGAACTTCTTTTGTTCATTTAACTGGTTCAAGCCCATTTAACATGTATGCGCGTATTTCGTCTATAAGCGAGTGTTCTTTTGTAGCTCGGTTGCAAAAGAATGTACCTCATGTACCATAAGCCCTGCTCGCATACGCACTATTCAGTAAAATCCCGTACTAATTATACTGGGTTTTACTCGAAGGCGTTTTCGTATGCAAAAACTTGCAAGAACACAGAAAAAGAGAGAGAATTGAGAGAGAAAAAATGACAGCTGAATTTGCAAGTTTTACTGGATTTTTACTGGATAAATTTTTACTATTAACTACAGTTGATGGCATGATGCTTAATGCAATTCACGTTACCAAAAGAATTGTTTGTAGTGCCTTCTAGAGTTGCAATTGACAAAATAAACCTATTTAAATATATATTAAGATGGGAAATACTATTTTTCTTAGAAAATTGCGTCGGAAAATAACAAACTAGTCAGCTGTTCATAAAACTAGCAAATTCTTGTAAGTTTCGCGTTTTGTACTTTCTTGCATATCTCTCTCATTGGGAGTAAATATTGCCTTACGCTCTCTCCGAAATTTGGTTACTGGCACTGGAATTTCAGTTTGCGTGGGGAATCGGGGAATGTACCATGTAAGCTGTTTTTTTTTTGTGTTAACTATTTTTTTTCTTGTTTGCTTCACTAATTTCATAATAAGTTCAAAAGTTGCATAAGAAATGCAACTGCAACTAAAAGTACTGATTGTGTAACCCTGAGTTATTAAATATTCAAATCAGCAACCAATAGAGATTAATGATAGCACTATTTAGAACTTGATATTTGAGATTTCTATTTTTGACGCCATCGGCTATGATTTTTTGCACTTGAAACTTGCACTTTATTATGCTAGAATTATGGGCTACAAAACTGCATACTCAAAATCTTTCTATAAAAATCGAATTAAAAAGCTCGAAATTTTTACAAAAAATAATAATTGTGACAACTTTTTAAAATTTGGTGCGATAAAAATTTTTCGACCACTGTATGTATGTAAATATTATCAGCCCGATTCTTTGCACTTGATAAATTAAACATTTTTACCGCCCGATTCTGCGTTTTCTTGATAAATTATTTGTAAAGAAATTTTATCAAGATTTTTATCAAGTAAAAGCTCCCATAGCATTCTGTGTCAATATTTATAAAATAAAAAGCTCTACGATTTGCACATGAGGGGAACTGATTTGCACGTGAGTGGAACTGATTTCATTGTCATTGGCGTTTTCGAACTGGCTGCCGAGATAGGTCGATCTTCCACTCAGCAGTCGAAATGCTATTCACAAGCGTTTACAAATTTAGATTTCATGCGAAACTTATAAATTTTTTATGGATATTAAAACATTTGCTTTTATCATTTAAATACTGCATGTGCCGGCATTTGAACCGGCGACACACGGAATTATAGTCGACATCCCTGCCTACTCGGCTACGGCAGTCAAAAATTCTTTTGTTTTTAAAATCATATTTTTCATATGTGACAATGAAATCAGTTCCACTCATGGGCAAATCGGTTCCCCTCAAAATTATAAAATTTTTTAATTTATCAGTGCACAGAATTGGGCTGTTATAATTTGTAAATTTTTTTATTAAATAATTGGGATTTTAGCACAGTAATTGAAATTTCTTTTCTTGATAAATTATTAAGATTCGAAATGCTATTGAAAAGCGTTCCCAAATTGAAATTTTATGTGAAACTTATAAATTTTGTATATAAAAAAAAATTGTTTTTGTTATTTAAACACTGCAAGTACTGGCAATTGAACGCGGAATTATACATAGTCATCTCTACGTACTCGGCTACGGCAGTCAAACGTTTTTTTGCTTTTTAATTCTTTTTTTTCGTGTTGAAATCGTGTAGCTTGCGAAGAATGCGAAGGAAGCTTTTGCTAGTTAAAAATCTTGATAAAATTTCTTTACAAATAATTCATCAAGAAAACACAGAATTGGACTCCTTAAAGACTCATTTATGACTCCAAATGTTTGCTGGGTAGCTTCATAAAAGTTTGGTTTGGTATGTGTTATGACTACATAGATGAAATACATAATTTATTTTTTGTAAATAAGGAGATATCTATGGCTGGCGAATTGAATTTTACGAAGTTTAGGGCAAAAAAATTTTTGCTGGAAAATACGAAAACATAACTATAGTCTCGTGATGGTTTCATGTATTTTGATTTTTTGTTTGTTTTTGTCGCACGGTGTAATCAGCCAACCTGTTGAACCTATTTCTTAAAAAATTCGATTGTCTAACTGCGAAAAAGCCGAAAACATTTCTAGCCAATTTTTTAGTGTAAAGAGATCACTACAAAATATTTCACATTATTTTAAAACTGCACCTGTTATAATAGGCGCCAAACAGTGACGGCATCAACTTTTTATTTTTGCAAAGAATTACGGATTCTCTCGCATATTAAGCCAACGAGAAGGTGTGAACAAAAATAAGTACAGAATGTATATGCATACATATGCATGTACAAATGTATGTACATTAGGGTAGCCCAAAAAAAAGCAGTGGGGAGTTTAAAATGGTAATCTCTCTTTCCCTTGGAATATCTCTCTTCCCCTTGGAATATCAATATTTTTGTATCGGAAAACTTTGTTTCTCTTTAGGAGACTTCCAATAACAAGACCCAATTGTTTATTTTACCATTTTTTATTATTAACTATTTTTTGTAGGTCCCCCAAAAACCCATAACAAATCGTTAGTATTAAAAAATTATAAAATAAACAATTGGGTATTATTGTTGGAAGTATTCTGAAGAGAAGCCATAGTTTTCTGATCGATATTGATTTTCAAGCATGCTATTTCACTTCTACGAAAAAGAGTTTTTTTTCGTACAAAATACATGGAAAACGTCATGGGCTTTGTGACAGTTCAAAATTCAATTTTTGTTTAAACAAAAAAAGGTCGGGTATTTTTTTATTCCATTTAGAAAAAATCCTAGAGGGCGAGAGATTGACATTTTAAACTTTTGCCACCCTAATGTACATGTGTCGGCCTAAACCGAGCAACGACTATAGCGCAAAATAAGACAATTGCAACAATACATGCAAATCGTAGTCGTAAAGAAACGCTGGTCAAAATAGACAAAAATGGCTTGACCTTCAGCACTGTCAGCAAAAAGAACAATAAATAAATTTCCTGCATAACAACATTACACCGCAGACAATCTAATTAGTGCACGATAAAAACAATATAAATATGCGTATGCTTGCATGTATGCGTATTTGTATTTATGTAATTAATTTAGTTTAGCAACTATTTGCTTTCGCTTGAATCCAATAGATGTGTACTATCTAATATTGGATATATGTTTGTATGTAAGTAGATCCAAGCGTTAAAATCACATTTTCTTCCTCGACTGACTTCAAAACAAGTAAGTAAAAAAACCGACTTATATTCTCATATAAAAAAAATATATATATATATATTTCATGATCCAATGATTAGATCTAAACCAGATTTGTGTGGGGCCACCTCTGAGACACTACCTTTCCGATGCAAAAATAATGGTCAAATTCGGTTGACGTGGCCCAAAGTTATGCGGCAACATACATAAAAAAAGAAAAAAAAACATTCCGACGAACTGACTTTTAGGGAAGTCGGTTAAAAAAGGAGAAGGTTATCAATTCGTCGGAATATTGTTTTGCTTTTTTTTATGTGTATGTATATTACCGCATAACTTTGGACCACGTCAATGATTTCGATAATTCTTTTTCTATCCGAAAGGTAGTGTCTCACAGGTGGTCACATGCTAATTTTGTTTAGATCCTTCATAAAATGCATTAAATCATAAAAAAATTAACGATACTCCTATATTTGTATATGAGAATTGAAGTCGGTTATGTTTTTTGCTTAAAAATTACCTGTTTTTTATAACTGTTTCTATGTAAGTATGAATGTGAGTACATAGATAGATTTGCTAATTGTTTCCTGATTTCATTAAAGTTTTGATACGCTATTTGCTTATATGCTTTCATATGTATTTACTTAGGTTGTACGAATGTTTTATGTGTATATACATATGTATGTACATGTGAACACACATATGTACATACCTATGTATATACACATAAAACATTCGTACAACCTAAGTAAATACATATGAAAGCATATAAGTACATATGTACAAATGTATGAATATATCACATATCTATGTACATATAAGTGAATTTTTTTAGTATGAATCAGAGCAATATTAAATGTGGTTTGAAGTATTTGTTTGAAAAAGTTAACATTAGGGCCCGTTGAGCTAGAGAAAAAGTGAGCGTGACATTTTTTGCCGCTGTTGTTTGAGGGCTAGCGGCTTTCTGCTTCAACGAACATGCTCAGGAGCATAACCCTCAATAAATAGAGTTCTACTTTTTCTTACCGCAGTACAATAAACACATTTCGCGATTTTTTATTTAATATTTTATTTTAAAAAAACCACTGCAGGCTAAAATTAAGAAAACAAAATCTTTCAAATTATACATCAAATATGCATACATACGTACATATACTACATATGTATATCAAATGAAAGATATTTTTATGCTCTTTTAAATAAACATATTTTTACATATAGTTAATAACGCATTTTTAAAGAAAAATGGCAACTTTTATAAAAATAATGGCAAACTTTCGTTTTGTTTTTTTTGCTTTTCTCGAAACATATATATAAATACATACGTATTTTATATATACAGACTCACATTTCATATGAGAGGTATTTTAATTAACTTTCCAACCATGCCCACATTTTCAAAATCGGTTCAATACTGTTCGAATATTCCTCCTTACTGCTATCCAACAACCACCCCCTGACCACTATTAATTTTAATATCGTTAGAATCAATTAGAGAAGGCGTACCACGCCCACCTTTTCCTTTTTTTAGCCTGAAGGGGCTTATTCTTTACTTATGCCTGTTTGTTTAACTTCAATTCATCTGGGAAGTGATGTTATATTTGTATATGTATGCAGGTCTTGTCGACACCCCCAAAATCATCACTTATGGTTAAAACCCCGGGTTTGTATACTCCACACACATACTGGTTCTGAGTGCGAAGATCTCTGCTTATTTTATTTCTGACAGCCGGAATATCTCTCAAAGGACAGCCTGAAAGAGTCCATAATCCTTAGCTGAATAAGTCCATTTTAACCGCCTTTTCAAAAACTATCTTCCAATGTCTTCTATTGGAAGTAGAGCTAGCGGAAGCGAACACTCTAGCTCTGATATATTCTTGACATGACCATACCTTTCCCAAATTCTTCTCTAACAAAGCTTAGTAGAATTCGTTTTAAATGGCTCAAGTTGGTGTACAGCCATTTTGGAGTACGTCAACCAGGACTTGCTCGTCAGACGCTTCCATACATACCAATAAGGCTTTCGTTGCTTTGGGGATGGTAGTGCCAACATGTTTCATCCATAGACGTTTGGTGTCCAGGATTAGTCCCACATATCGACGGACGAGTGGAAGATCGACCTATCTCGGCAGCCGGTTCGAAAACGTCCTATCTAATAGCCCATTTCCACCAAGAGATTAACTGTACTTAAGAGCTCAGGTAAGTGCAAAAAACGTGGGGTGAACAGCAAAGTTTATTTCTCAGTTTTTGCTCGATTGATTGTACTTAAAATGAGCAACTACCCCCTTCCAGTTGTAATCTCCGTTTTCCAATAGGCGTAAACTGCAGTTAAGGCTTGGTGGAAATAAACTATAACCTGCCGATATAATGAATTTACATTGAGAAGGGACGTTCTTGACAAATTTGCTGAGATAGGGCGTCTTCGAATCAGCTGCCAAGATAGGTCGATCTTCCATTCAGGTGTCGATATGTAATTAACTTCGCTAGCGACGTTAACCACGACTCATCCAGAGTCATACTACCCATACCCACCAAGGTTATTTTCCTGGTGAATTAATTTATTTTCCTGGTGATAATTAGAACAATTGTCCTTTCTTCTTCGCTACCTATGAAGGTACCTTCTGATAGCTTAGGCGTTAAAGCTCGTTTTAGTCTCGCGACTGCTTAAGTATTGGAGGTGCCTTCGAGGAAAGTTGCCTTTTGGTCTTTCTGATGTCCTTGCTGTATTTCTGTGATTATTCCTCCCATCATCCCCTAAGCTCAGCTGCGTACAAATTTCATGATAGCTGTGGATACCCATCACCACCGATATTGTTTTGACCTTACCCATCAACCTGGTCTCGGTACAGCCAATCCATCATTATGTCCGTTAACTTATTATCCTTTAACCTCATGGAAATTAACACAAGTTTCCTCTTCAGTGACAATCTGGTCCAACAATTTATTTATGATTCTCGATACAAAGATAAACAGCGGCAGTCTTTGGCCAGATATAAATGGTGGGTATTTCCTGTTACGTAGGCCCGACGATCGTAGGTGAGTCGAATTAGCTGTTTGAATAATTTGTTCTTTTTGAAATATGCAACTTTAGAGGTAGTACGAACCCTCAACCACTCAGCTACGAAAAACTTTTTTTTCATAGAAATGGTATAGAATTCTTAAAAATCAAAATTTTTTTCTCGGAAAGCTTTTTTTCTCTTCAGGTGACTTTCAGTAAAAATACCCAATTGTGTATTTTAGCATTTTTTAACACTAAAGATTCTTTATGGGCGGCTCCATTGCAATTTTTAGGGTTTTTATGGATCTATAAAGAATTGTTAACATTAAAAAAGGGTTAAATAAACAATTGGGTATTGTTATTGGAAAGAAAAACCAAGTTTTCCGATCGAAAAATATTGATTTTCAAGATTTCTACACTATTTACCAGTTTTGACAACTAAACTAAAATTTAGATTTACATATATTGTATTTGTTAGATAAAGAACTTTTCAATCAGATTTTTTTGAAAAAATTTGGGTATGCAGTTTTATAGCCCATTAGATTTTAGTAGGTTAAACTGCAAACCGCAAGACGCTAGAAAATCGCGGGTGCTCGAGCACCCCCCTGCCCCTACCTGGCTACGCCTATGATAGTAAGTATTATATATTGCGCTAGACTTTTATACAAAAACATTAGACATCGAATAAACAAAGTAAAATAGCCCCAAAACTGGTCAAAGTAGAAAGTTTCCACCACTGTACATCCATATATAATATATACATATGTATTACAATGCGACAGTAAATTTTACACACAAAAAAATGTATATATTCGCAAAAATATGCGCAAATTATAGTAAAACTGCGTACTTACTTTTTCTCTTTGGCGTCAGGATTTTTTAAAGGACTTTGAAATTTAAAATATATGATTATTTCAAAAAATTATTTTTAAAATTCTGTACAATGTAGAAACAATAACGGTATCATACAAAAGAAAAAATTCTGTAGAATTATAACCGAATAACTTTTTTGGAAAATAAACTTTAAAAAATGCGCCCTTTCTACACCTATTCGTCCTGGTAAACCAAAAAACTTTATGGTTTTTAAATTCTACAAAACATTCTCTCTCATTTGGTACCCATATTGTTATTTTACATTGCACTGAAATTTTAAAGTAATTTTTTGAATTAATCATATGTTTAAAATTTCAAAGTCCTTTGAAAAAAATCCTGACGCCGGAGTGAAAAACTAAAATCGCAGTTTTACTTTATTATATCGATTCATTCGTGTGTTTTGAAATTTTTTTGTTTTTGTCGTTCGGTGTTATGTATGAACTATGCAATTTTTTGTTGTGGATCATAAAACTTCCGTCGAAAATATTGTGGAATGGTGCTAAAGTAATCATTATTGGGCTGAAATTTTTAAAACTTTGTTCATCCGAAAGCGCACTGTTCAAATAGTTTTAGTTTAGCTGAAATCAAAAGCTGGCCAATTGTATGCTTATTTACTTGCCTTTACTTGACCTTTTAAAACGTCCACAGCCCCATAAACAAAATTCATGATTTACTGAGTCCGCTTTTTTCAATATATTTCGTATATGTATGTATGTATGATTTTAATTACATAGATGCATTTACATACTTATGTACATACAAGTGTGTGTGCATATGTACATATATACGCGTGTCTAAAGAACTTTGAAGTGTAATTACTTAAATGAAATTGCTATTTATTATGCAGACACTACACGATTGATACATATCGTTTTTTTTTAAGAAAACGAAAACATTGAGTGCTTCTTTCGCCATTTACATGCAAAGAATTTTGTAAAAATCTTAATTTTTGAACCTATTTTATTTTGTTAGATTTTTTAATTTTTTACATATTTAAAGTCAATTATTACATATGCATGCCTTCATCTTTAACACAATAGTGGTAAATTATATCAGTATTTCATT